TTAGAGTTAAGATCTCAGAGAAAGTTCGATGTGCTGCAGTCATGGTTCAAGCGTAATTACTTAAATATAAACGAATCTAAAACTAAAGTATTGCCTTTGGGTGATAATCCGCCATGTTATGAATTGTTTGCTGACCGTACTAGGCCTCCCTTGAATGTGGTACACGATATGAAGTTATTAGGTCTAACTATTGACAGCTCCTTATCTTTTAAAGCCCACATTAAATCCGTGTGTAATAAGGTTAATGCCAAAGTTAGTGCTCTTAGGAGAGTTCGTAAATTCATACCTTCAGAAGTGATGGTCAATATTTACAAGGCATTTATTTTGCCACACTTAGAGTACTGTGCTCCAGTCTTAGTTGGGTTATCATCTGGCCTATCTAACAAACTGGAGCTCACTAATCAGTATGCCATTAGAACTCTTTTAAACATGGCTAAGTCAAACTCATATAGTACCTTACTTGACCATGTGGGACTGAAGACCCTAGAGCATCGCAGATATTCTCATGCTCTCTGCCTTTTTTATAAATGCTTATATAACATGGGGCCGAATAATATTAGGGAGATGTTTTTATTTCGTAATAATAAATATGACCTCAGAGGCTTCTGCAAGCTTGATCAGCCTACTTATTCTAGCATTCATGTATAGGTCATATCAATACGTCACTACAAGATTATGTTATATAATCTACCTGACTATGCAAGAAGAGCTCCTTCTCTTAATATTTTTAAATCAATGCTGGACGAGGTCAACTTGACTACAAGTGTGGAGTGTGAATGCAACTTTTGTACATAGCTTATTTTATCCCTAGGTTGTTCCCTCTTAGTTTTATTGATTCTTATTTATTTCCTATATATGCATCATGATTCCCATATGATTTTATAGTTCCTTTTTATTACTATTATTATCATCATTGTCTAGCTTGTTATATATATTATTTTAACCTGGCACGTTCACCTTAAAACGAGTTATACTCAATTGTGAAATGTGGATAAATAAATTACTTACTTACTTACTTACTTACTAGAAACATAACTTTTCAGCGAAACGGAAAAGAGAGCGAGGATTTCACGTCTTGCAAATACTTATTTTGTACCCCAAGACCATCTGTTGTATTGACTTGACCCCGGAAGTCTGGTTACAGGCTAGACGTTTGGTTGTCATTTCCGTTCAAGCGCTCTGTGGTAGGGCTGGGCTTAGATCCAGGGTTGGTTAAGTCAAAAATCGCCCTCGAAGCTTTAAGGCGCATGCGTGAGTGCGAGTATTTCACATGTTAGGGTCGGCTTAGGCTTAAGAGCACGTGAAAACATCTTATGAAAGAGATAACATCTTTCCTTTACTTTCCACACGCTCTTCATGAGCGTTTCATATGCACATGACAGTATCGTGCGAAATACGTGGAAGGGTGAAAATCGTATGAAGACCACATCTGCATCATATAACTAACCTCACAGTAAGATTTATGGTCCTTTTTATTAATTTTGTTTCTTTCAGATTCCTGAAGATGAATCCTGATATAAAATCGCGCTTCACTGAATTCAAAGAAATCTCAATTGAAGAAATAAATAAAAACAATGGTCACCCTAGAAGATTGATGGCTGCCATCGAAAACTCTATCTGTTCGCTCTATGACCCCGAAACTTTCGCAGGTTACGTGTTGGAATTAGGAAGAAGGCACGTCAGACTTCGCTTCAAACCGACAAAGTCTCATGTAAGACCCAATAAAAATACTTTTCGAGTGTATTTTAAAGTGGAGTAGAAAAGGTTTTTCCTGACGTGAAAATTAGAAGTCTCAGTTTGAACAGAAATGGTTGTATCATCCTCATATCCAGAGTCCCTCTAATCGCCCCTCAGGAGCGGGAAAAAGAGAGATCCTGGTAACGAGGATATTTCTGTATCGGGACGGAGAGAAGGGACGGGTGAGAGCGGTAGAAACACTAGTTCAAGAGTCAGATATGTCTAATTATCAAAGATACACAAACAGAAAGTAAACTTGTCCCTCTTCGTGACCTTGAATGACAGTAACTTCCCCCTAATCTATTTATCTTCTTTTCTCAAGTTCATAGATTTGAGGAAAGCGTTCATTAGCACCATTAAGGAATTTCTCACCACCGATTGGAGACCAGAAGTAGAGGAGAGCTGGGTGCTACTGTTCGACTTTATGGCTGCCGTTATGATGAAAGGGTTCAATGCCAAGTCCTAAATCGCATGCGTAGAAAAGCCGTAAGTTTGCAGCCAACATCACAGACTCTTACTTGTCGGCCATCGGGCGAATAAAAGCGGCTACAAACGAGATTTACCAACGCATTTTTAGCAATTCGTTGAGAGACAGACCTCCGAAAAAACGGCACGATTTGTTGTAATGTTTTACTGAGGGCATGGGAAATGCAAATTATTGTTTTGAAGGAGCGAGACTGAAAAGACTAGGCTGGTAAAATTATTGCACTCAGACAATTTTTAGAAATTAATTATTTTATTTGGAATCCTCACAGCAATTGCGAGATCTTGCATTTGCCGGCATTTTAATTCAATACAATAACGGGCACGTAGCCGACTTACTGAACATACGCACACCTGGACTGGTTGCGCGCAGATTGGGCTAACGTCGGAAGACCACTCCCCAATTCCGATTTCACAACGCATAACATTGTAAAGTGGCGACAATTCCAGAGTAAACATGACTTGCGCATGATCACGTCCTTCACGATCAGTGCCTTTATTATATAGACCTTGAGAGCTTAGAGACAAATTCAATATAACGGCAATCATCTATATAAATGAGATGATTTTCAGTCACTGTAACACCAATTGATCTTTCGTTTCTATGAAAAGATGTGTGAGAGAAATTCTTGAGAGCACGCCACCAACCCACGACGATGTTCGCACATGCCCAGACGTTTGACCGTTGTGTTAACGTGGATATGTGGCTCTATGTCAGCCACGCCCCTGAATAAATACACTAATTGAGGCTTAGAATTGGCTGCCATCGAAAAACGTTGACACCGAAAAAATTACATGCAACAAATATTGAAAATATTCAGCTGACCTCAGTTCATCCCTTCTTAGTTGGCGTTATCAATTTTATACACTGCTTGTGTACTTGAATCATTCAGAAATTGTGCCAAATAAATAAAAATCAAGGAAGGTATTTACAAAAAATGTTCACTTGTTTTTTTTTTTTCTTATTACGTGTCTTCCTAAGAAGGACCATAATCTACGCTTGGTCCATTAAGTCTAACAGTTCGTCACCTTTTTCACCTAAGGAAGTAAGAACACAAATATGCGTTACTTAAGCTTTTTTTTGCACAAAAGTCATACATAAGGAAACAGTAACGTCGGTATATTGTTCTACTGAGGCAATAAAGACTAACTTTTTCAAAAAGTAAGAACTTAAATTTCATAAAATAATAAGCAAGTTGTCATAGAATAAAAGAGAAGGACACTTCTCTCATCTACAGATAATGATTATTACAACAAAGCAATGTCAAAACAAAAATCGCATTGCTCTATGAACCCTTCATACTCTTGGGAATGGAGTTCAATGAGGCCACAACTACACACAGCCTCACAGCTCTCCCTTAATTCTTGTTTATTGATTTATTTCACAAACTCCATGAAAGTTAAATGCAAGTTTTGAAACTTACGGTCTCCAGATCCTTCAATTGAAAATTCATTCATAAGATTAGCCAGTTCTTTCCTTTGCTCCTTCTAAAACAGTAAGAAAATGTACAGCTCAAATGAAAAACTGTACCCTTTCCAGTATATTTTGTATGACAGTTTTGAAATTATGACTGTCAGGAAGCAGATACACACTTTTAATTATATGACTGACACCAAGAACTGACAAGACAAAGTAAATGGGATAGGTTAATAGCTGGTTGTTTGAATTAAACCTCATCTGTGCATGAAGACCAATAAAGGATAGGCAAACTTGATGATTAACCATAGGAGATTATGAAGATTATTATACAAAAGCGATTGAAAAGGACCTCGGACAAAATAAAGGGAATAACTTGTTGCCAACAAGACAGCTTGTCTGACATTCCCCATCACCCAGGTGTCACATCTTATAATGTGCATTTCATGAGATAGAATGGAACAGTTTCTTAGCCACACTTGCCTTAGTAGCATCAATTTTGATCACTCTATGAGGAGCTTCCTTGTGACTTTGGATGGCTGCTTGCCTGTAAAAACCACAACAACAATGATCAACAACAATCAGTGAATAATAATTAATTTCTATGAGAGAAACAAAGTAAGCTTCAAAAGTCTTGCAAGTTGAATGGGCCGTTACTACCTAATGGCTACTGGTTTCCACAAAATAAAGTATCTTGACACATAAAAAAAGATGACTTCATCTCGTTACCAGCACGGAACTCAAGTCCCCCAAATCAAACCTCACACCTTCATTCCATTAAGCTACCAATAACTCAGTGGTGACTGAGGCCTTGTTCTCTACCCATATGTGACTGCTCTATTTCCTAACAAGACGCTTTACAGCTGATCTTAACAATGTGTGGAAGGCTATTCTCACACAACATTATGTCATAATCAAAAGTTCACTATAGGAAAAATTTTAGATCAATTTCTTAGTAAATACTTCTTGAAAAAAGCAATGTTTGACTTACTCTTCTTCTTCATCTGTACTGAAGAAATTTAATCTAAACTGGCCTACATGACAAAATGAAAAAAACCCAACAAATAATTATGTCAATCACATAATAATGATAACCATGATGATTATAATTCCTTGAGTGATTGTGACTTGAAGTATGCCTCACACAGGGAGTGAGCAGAAAAAATGTGACTTACTTTCTGGCTTTTTACTTGATCCTCCAACAAGATGAGCCAAAAGATTGAGCTCAGCTTTTGCAAGGGGATTTGGGTTACCTTGTGGTTCCTGGAAATTTTCGAATGTAATCCAGATCAAAACAAAAGTTGGGTAGTCTGTTATCTCTCCCCCTCCCACTTCCATCTACCTCACCTTCCACCCATTTATGATGATTATGGTTTTGAACTACAAGTACAAACCGTCACAAAGTAGGCTAAGTCAATTTGGACTATAGGATTGTTAGTGCCATACCCATGACCTACCCCTCCCTTCTAAAACGATGTTGCAAAAAGCTGCTTTCTAGAGGGAGTGTCTCAGCACTCTTGCAACTGGTTGCACATGAAGCTTATGCATTTTAGGGTTACAGTAACACCATTCTGACTATCCAGCACTTCTTTGCTCTAACAACCAAAACACCAAAGAAGCATTTTAAAAGGATGTACTTTGCAATCTATCTACCATCCTGTGCCTGTACCCGTAGAAATTTATAATAACGGTTGATTCCTCGAATCAAAGGTCATTTGTTTATTTCTTGCTTTTAGAATATAGGGAGCAAATATCTAAAACTTCTTCCTAGCTGCAATCTATTCTATCCAACTATTCACATATGGGGAAACAAAACACACATCTACAAGTTAACTCACTGATACTGAAGCAACAGATACAGTGCTCCCTGGTGCTTTCTTTGTCACAGCAGACAGAGCAGCAGTGGCAGCTGGTGCAGGACTACTGGTTACTGTGTCTACTGTTTTGGAAGCGGTGTACCTGGAATAAACAACAATTACAACAAAGAACTCAATGAACTCTGTTAGGGGATGTGATCTATACTTCTTAAATTTTTTTATACCAACTCAAACATTAAGGAATACATCAGAAGAGCTGAATAATAGAAACAAATCTGTCTACTTACATGTTACTTCCAAGCTTTATCACTCGATCTCCTAAAAGTTCAAAAGATCCTGGCTTATCTGGGAGCTGATAACGGCATCCTGTTACAAAGTGACTTGTTCTTGAAATTTGTCCCTCAGTGTTTAAGTACCTGTATATTAGATATGATGAATATATGAAGTTCATATATTTTGAACTGCGGTTATAGATACAAATGATGCACAATCCAGGATTGTGCATCATTTGTACCTGTATATTGTTAAAAAGAGAATCAAAAGATGATTTGTTTATTTTGTTCACTCATTAACAAAAAAACCACTGAATTTTTATCATCACCTGATTGACCCAGGTACTTCAGTATCCCAAGGTACAGCTCCATCAGCTGGCAAAACAAACTTTCCATTTGCATTTTGAACTTTGTCTTTTAAGAAAATTGAAACCTATCAATAAAATCAGAAAAAACATTGGAAAACAGAAAGCATAACACTGACTCAAAAATTGCACAAGACAGTAAATGATTTAAATCTGGGAGGAATATGGCAGTTCCAATAAATATAGTTTTACAGCTGAGGATTTGTCAATCACCCAGTAAAGGGACAGCACATGAAGATAGAGTCCTGAAAAAGACTTTTCATTGACAGGAGCTAAGTTTCAAATAATTTCAATCAGTAAAAGTCATTGTTAGACTCAAGGATGTCAAAATGTCAATCACTGACTTTTCAGGACTTAAGTTACCCATCACAAAATGCACTGTACCTTCACAAATAACTATTAATTTAGAAGTAATTTACTCACCCTAATATGCATGTCCTGGAAGAATGAAAGAAGAGTCTGGCGTATAATTTGAAACTGTCCAGCATTCAGTTTGGCATATGTCTAGAATTGACCACAAAAGATAACAAGTGATATTTGCTGTAAATTCAGAATTTAAACTAAATGTTTGGTTAACAGACAATAACAATATCAATAATGAAAATAAATTATGCCTTGGTGTCACTAGGGCATCATTAACAATTTCAAAAAATAATCTGCTCTGAAAAAGGGCTGACACTCAAAATGTCAGCTTTGAAACTCTTCACAGTGGCCAATTTACATAACTCAGTTGATAAAACCAAAATGACCTTGTTATACTCCCCCACCGAAGCAGCAACACAGTTTCTTTACAACCTTACCCTCTCTATTCAATAAATAATTGACAAATTCAGAAATAGAGTGCTGATTATCATAAATCTTCAGCAAATTTACAGGCTGTAGAGTGTAACCTGACTGTACCTCATACAGAAGCTTGTAAACATTTTCTACTTGATTACTGATAGCAGGGTTATCAGAAGCAAAACTTCTTATTGCATCCATGTGATTATAGGTAACTAGGAGAACATCAGAGGGTCGGAGACACAAAGAAACCTGACCAGGACAAAGAGGAGAATAGTTACAGTAAGATTATAAAATACATGAGAAATAAAGAATGACAGTTAAAAAAATACAAAAAATGTTCCAAGCATTCAAATTTAGAGGTTTACCTGATATTTGAAAGCCATTGTCATCAAATCATACAGCTGTTGGAGAAGGAATCAAAAAAAAAAATTAAAAGAAATGGTTAAAAATGTCAGATAGTTCAAGATGTGATACTTTCATTCACCACAAAAGTGTTGTATCTACCAAATTAATGTCTTCAGTGATGAACACTGTTATATTAATTTTACAAAAATACTATCGTAATTCTACTTGCTGAAACAGGATATTTTCAGATTTTCATGAGCTTAAAAGGACTACTTATCATTAGTAGCTTTGCATCTCCAAAATCATTGTTCTTTGAACCTTCAAATAAAATCTAGAATTCTGGCAAGCCCTGGCCAGGAGTTACTGAGACTATCTTTTTCGCCATTTTGTATAACTGAATCTTTAGAATTTTTGCTGTATAGTGTTGGACTTAATACAAGGAAGTTAAAATTGTCCTAAGGCCTTCAGGGGCTTACCACCAGTTAGAGCTGAATCTCAGACAGTTCTACTCCTAAAAAGAAATGAATAAACAGAACTGTCCGACCAGAACACTCAATTCCAAAGTGGTATTCAAATTTCTGATAGAATGTTGACCAACACTGAATGACAAGAAACTCCCAACAACTTAATAAATTCCTTTATTTAAAACCACTGCTGGTCAGAGATCGTTTCACTATAGGATGGTAAAATTATGGAACTCATTAGACAGTGATTTGAAACTGCGTAAAGACCTCACTAACTTTAAGAAAACTTAAAAATCACGGATGTTGAATGAGTTTCTTATAACAAAACAGTTTTTAACATATAGTTTTATATTTTGTACTATACGTATACATCTTTTATTCTTATTGTATTGTACTAGCTGTTCACTGAAAAACCCTTTTTGGGAGTGTTCAATAAACTTATTACTTATTACTACTATTACTATTACACTCCCAAATATAGCTTCTGTTGTCTTTTCATTTTCACTCAGGTCTCATAAGTCAGTGTGGATGGATGGAAGGTGCCAGTCTAGACTGCCATGAAACTCTCTTCATACAGACCATACAGTTTAACCCTCTACACCCTAACTTCAGTATGCATATTCTCCATGCTGTTGTCTATACATTTCCACAGATGTTGACAATGAGAATTTGTTTAACAATCAAGAGCTTCTTCAATTGATGATCATTTCCTTTATTCTCATGACCTCAAATATGTGATTCAAGGGTGACATTGTAAGGAAAAATTCAATACTAGTAATTCTTTAAGTTTAACTTTGACCTGAGCCTAAATCACCTAACCCAATCAACATCTCACCTTGTCCATGCTAGCTGAGTTCAGTCTCATGATTGACGCATGTGCTAGTCTGTCAAACACTGTCCTCATGGCTTTCTTGGAGTAAGTATCTTGTGGCTTAAACAGTTCTTCCATAAACCGCTTGTTGAACATTGTCCCAATAATATCATGCATAACTAACAACAATGAAACAACATTAGAGCCAAGGAAGAGCATAAGAAATATTGATTAAATGTAACGAATCCTCTTAATGTTACCAATGGCCATTAAGCTCCATCATCTGCCCAAGTATAAACTTGTGGATCATTTGCAGTGAACTTGAGCCAAAATAAATTAATTTTTGTCATACCAATTTAGTTAACTTAACTTAACATACATGTACAGGCACTCATGTACCTATGTGACATACTACGCTTCTCAAGATTTTAATAAATTCAGTTCAACTCCTAGAAAACTGAAAGCAACTTTTATTAGCACCTAGGACTCAAGGTGAAATGGTGCAACACAGATGCAAACCATGGAATTTTGATTCATTTGTGGGACAAAGATCACAAAGCAAGATTCTAGTTTCAGTTGCTAGGAACATGAAAAATTACTACTAATTGTGTGTACTAAGAAACTTCTGATGCATTATTATCAAATTGAAATTTCCCTAGCCTTTCCAATTTTTTACTATTTCATTCTTCATTGGTAAATGGGAATGACACTACCATAGAGAAAGAGCACACACTGACACCAAAGTTTTGTGCTGTAATCTTTATGATAAGTGCCACGGTTCTGATACTCAGGAAAGTTGGTGCTTGTCCAAAATGTCTTTTAAAAGAGAAGCTGGCAGAAAAAATTTTCAAATGGACAAAACAATCCGAAAATTGGGTTATGTCCTTGGATGTGATATACAAGGTATTACAATACTTCTATTCTTTGTAAAACTATTTTTGAGTTATTGTTTCAAACTAATTTGCAATTTTCAGGTTCACAACATTACTTTCTGAGCAAGTTTCATAACATTTGTGACATTTTAGTTTGCCAGTAACATGAAAACGATAGTGAAAACAGAAATTATATTTTAAGGCTGAAACAATAAGGAAATTAAGGAATACATAATCAATGAAAAAAATTGATCCAAAAGGGTTAATACCTAAGACAAATACATGTCAAAACTGACATGATTTAAATTAATATTAAAATTTTAGTCTTTGCTCTGGAGTAGTTGGGAACTTGTAAATTCATTTTTGGGGAATCCCAAGAGGTTTTTTTTTTTTTATCATGGAAGAGATTACTATTAGAACATTATCTGTACCAAATACTTAATACACTCTAAAAGTTTAAAAAAATAGTCAGTATTGGAGAATAAAATTTCATGCAACATCTGCTGTTACTAGCCTTCAAACTACTGTGTTGTTTTCAAACAGAGACAAGTCTCAAAACAAATTATTCATGATGAATGTTTCAGTTGTCTGGGGTTTGGTAAAAATATTATTACCAAAACACCAGGGTGGCTGTTCTGGCTGTTCACTTCTTAAATGTGGTTTCAATTTAACAAACATCCACGGCAAATGCATTTTAGTTTGCTTCATAAAGATGCATTTGACTTTTCTTATCCCTGGCAGCTGACTAAAAAGCTCATGGCAAATTAGAAGAAATTTTTATCTTTTACTTTAAGCCAGTGATAACTGATAGATTATCTTAAGTTAAAAATACCCCATTGTTTTCCTACACAAGTGCATAACAATTGTTGGATGTAAATTTTTTCTCGCTTGAACTAAAAATCGGGAAAGTAAAACTCCTCTCCTCCCCCAGCCAAGAAGAATATTGTACAAAAAAAATAGTCTAGACAAAATCTATTTAAGACTAGCAGACATAAACATTGTGCCCATTCCTTAGCAATAGTTTATTTATATCTTGTGGTATTGAGCGAACACTCTTTTTTCGAAAAGTATCTTTTTCGTGTGACAAAATTCTAAGACCGATCTAAAGTGGAAAAATATGTAATTACAGCAATTCACCATCGGATTACAGAGAGCTGACAGTACAAACGGACAGCATTATTAAGCTTATGGCATTAGCCTTCGTGTGGCCGGCTTTTCCATTTCAGCTGAAGAAAACATGCCCAAAACACTCCTCAGTTGCTATAAAAACAGGCAAAACCATAACCTGTATACTTATACTAACAGCCACCACGAGAAATACAAGACAAGGCGAGAACTACAGCATTTGACAGCTCATCTTAGGCTAATTCATCCAAAGTAGCAAAAATTGAAATTTGGTTCTCGCCCAATGCAAACAAATATGCGAGTTCCTTAGCTTATAAACTACAATAATAATACGTTATTTTGAAGGAGGTAACCACAAATCTTCGATTCGGGTAGCAATATCTAAGTTTTTGTGACGAACTATTTTGCCTGCTCGTTTGTTAAATTAGTTACGAGAGCTTTGTCGAGGGGACGCCATAATTTAGCAAACGCAAATACATCCGCTCAACTGAAGCTTACCTTTTCTCGCTTTCTCGTCGGGAATCGACTGTGCCCGTAACCTTTGATCCAAAATATAAAGCATCTCTCCCCCGAGATTGAGAAATAAAATAGGTAAAGTTCGCAGCGACATCCCGTAAGCTCATGAAGAAAGTTTCAAATATTAGGAGACTTCGAGTGCAGCTAGCAACTACTTGCAGGCGAAATCAATAGATTATTGATAACTATCAGAGGTCATTAATCTTATGCACTATGAAACTGTGGGACAGAGGGAAAGGGAAGTTTATAACTCAACAAAAAAAGTTAGAGGTTAGTCGACGGGCGATAAAAGTGGTGTTTACCATCAGATAAACTGAAAACACCTGTGCAATTTTTATGCTCCTGCACTTTTTAAAGAAATGAAGCTTGTACCGTATGAAAAAGGCTTTTTATTTGCCTGAGTGGCTTTTGTCTTTCCAGGGTAAGAGCGTCGATATTTTCTCGTTCGCCACGATCGTTGCAGCGACTGAGTAAAACCGACAGAAGTAACACAAATAAATAAGAAAAAGAATGACCAAAGTTTTTTTTCCCACCACGCACAAAACATGAAGGAATTAGTGAAAGACGAAAAACTTGCCCAGTTATTTACAAACCACGTCGACTGAAACGCCTCACTAATGCATTAGTAATTTATTTGAGCAAGCATTAGAATATGCAAATTCAGTGCAAATAGGACAGACCATTTCTTTTCTGTATGAACAGATGGAAGGATAATTTCTTTCTATGCTCTTATCTTCCTCGTTGTCTTGTGCGGCCAGTTGATGCAATTTTTCATTTGACTCATCCAGCCTCGCTCACGCAAAAACCAGAATAAAAGCCGATGTGTGTAAGGCCGAACGCTCCTGGAAAACCATCCGGCCCCATTCGCTAATTTCTTGTGGTTTTGACATAATTTTTACAGCTTTATGAGAACTTTCTGATGGATTTTTAGAACGTTAACAAACTAAATTAGGATCGGTAATTATTGTGATAGGTTTTGGACTATTTTAAAGTTACTATTTCGCCAAATAAATGACTGATCGTAAATAATGCATCATTAATGATGATCCACATTTTGGCAACCCGTTTTAATCTTTTCAAACCTTTTCCAAAACGTAAATCCTAATTGCAGCCAGTTAAAAAAGAAACGAGAAAATGAATCGCGTTTTTTCGATGAAATGAGAGCAAAAAAATTATAATCGTGGAAAAGTTTTCATTTTTGCATCTTTTTCTGTGGTTATCCCGGGTGCGCTCGTCCGACTGCGTCCTACTAATTTGGGTTGAAAACACAATTTTTCAAAATTATCAACTCTAAGTGGTCGTATGATAAAAATGTTTACTGACTGGTTTGGTCACTTGCAAAGGTGTTAGCTCGCGCGAATAGCTTTTTACGACACCACTTAACTTCTTTTCAGCACATTTCAGTTCCATTTATGATTTCAAACAGTTAGGAATAATCCGATTCAAGGAACTGAAGTCTCTAAAACAATATCCTTTTCAGTTAAAAGGGTGGAAGGAAACACCATTGCTCGGCGTTAAGTGACGTACGTCCGTATCATGAGTTATTTCCTTATTTTCCCAAGTCTCGTGCATCTCTGTCAGTTCGTAACCGTACTGGCCATTCTTTCGGATCGTCTCAAGCTGGTTAAAAAATAAAAACATGTACATCCGTAACTTGAGGCGAAAAAGCGAAACATCATTGTTTTGGCTATGGCCGTGAGATCTATTTTACAAGTTTTGCCCGCAAAAGAACAAAAGAGCCAAGCCAAGTGGCTCCTTTACCTTCAATAAAATCAGTCTTCACCAACGCCAAAAGGTACTGTCTTCCTTAGGTAAAAACGAAAACGTTGTTAAGTCTTTTTTATTCAATCCGAATCATGAACTGGACATCCCGACACAAAATAATCTTTGTAAGGCCCTAAGTCAGTAGGAATGAGTCATAAAGCGAGGGCGCGCGACAAAGTGTGGGGGTCAGGCATACGCGGCGGTTTCTTTCACAACAGCAACTGACCATTTTTCCATTCCTGCTTTTTTCCCTGTTTCCACTGACTGAGTGATTAAAGCAGGCTAAAAACACAATGACAAATAAAAAAATTGAAATCACAAAACACACTCATGAACACAAAAGCTTAGTTAAACTATGTAATTCCCGTCTGTGTGTGGAGCGAACAGGAGAAAAACAAACGTTTCCATTAGAACTGTATATAAATTGCGGAATTTTCTTCTCAGTCGTGGTAATGGTTTATGAACATCTTAAGGTGAAAATAATTCCTAAGAGGAATGTATTGGCTGTATACCCCGGAGACAAGTCAAGTCGCATCCTGGTCAAGTCGCATCCTCTTGCGAGTGTATCGCCAAATCATCAGCTGTTCATCAGCTGATCATCAGCTGATCATCAGCTGTTCAACAGCTGTCCCCATAGAAAAATTAAATAGGAGAAAAAACACTATGATACTGTAAGAAACCGGAAAAAGCAACCACATGTTATTTTGTAGCCTGTTCTTGGCGTTCAGCAGGATAAAATTTACGAAATCCGCGCAAAACAATAAACGGCGCAATAGTAGGGACAGAGCGAAAAACGAGGGAGGACCAGGTCGGATATCACTCCTCTTACTATTCCGACCAGACCCAAACCTCGCTCGTTTTTTCGCTCCTCGCCATGATCTTGCCATTTACTATCGCACTTCGTTTTACTTACTGATCAGGCTACGTATTTTGAAGAAATACATTTGAAAATTTTGAAGAAGGCGCCTGCAGAGCAGGGAGGGGCGAGGAATGGGGTTCACCTAAACTCTTCATAATTTCTGACCAAAACCAACGCTCGAAGGTTCGAGATACGTGTTTGCTTCAGCTTACTGTCAACAAAATCTGGTCAAAATTTTCAAAATTTCGGTTTTCCTACTCTTTAACCTTTCCAGCGAATTTCAAAGGAGTTTTTTGTCTCAAGATTTGCCAGGGGGTTCGATGTTGCGTTTCATCGGCCAGCAGTATGACCGCACTGACACGCGAAAACCGTGAACTTCTTTGAAGGCCAAAAACTAGAGGTTGGTTCTCCTCGAGTTACCTCCACAAAACGAATTAATAGGGTATGTAGATTTGATGAATTTTAATAAAAATTGGCAAATCGAGTAATATTCTATCAGTCTTTCTGCTGTTAATAAAACAGTTACTATATTTTCTAATGATAAACTTTTCTGTCTAACTCGGAATATTGTTTCTATCTGTCCCTTAAGTCTGTATAAACAATTGTCCGTACATAATTTCAACTTTTTAACTCAATCAGCGTTGATTCCGTCAACTTCGTTAACATTATCATACGCAACGTAACCATTGCTGTCTTCAATTTTCTCCCGTGCTATTCTGACACCTCCACAGTTTCTTGACCAAAAAAAAAAACAACTTCGAGAACAGATCGTGCCATTTTTAACTCAACAGAGAAAAGCAAAGCTACGGAAGTAGGTATTCCCATCAGGATATCACCCACTCCCACACAGTACAGTAAATCATTTCTGTTGTCTTCATCATAAATCCAACTTTCTTCCCATTGAGCTATTACCAGTTGTTAAGGCAGTCTTCTTGTTGTTACAAACTGTCCAGAACCTTCCTGTGATGTTCAGATGACTTCAGGTCACGTGTACATTGCACGAGCTTGTAAAATACTGGGCAGTCCAAAGACACACAACGTAACTTGGTATCACGTGAGCCGGAACAGCCGTAACAAATCTGAGAAGGAACAAAGAAATTTTAACACGGTGCAAACTCTAATAGATTGACTGGGTGAAGATGACACGTGGCAACAATCTTGGTAGCTTACCTCTGCTAGGTGATGATACGTTCGTTCCCAACCGCGCATGCGGGTGATTAGTATAACAGCTGACCGCCGGGGCATACCTCGACATTTGGCGCACAGATCAGTGGGAGTGAGGTCTTGGCAAACCGGGCATGCCATGGTTGAAAAGTACTGAGAAATAGTGCCCTAAAGAGACAAAATTTCGTGAGAGAGGGCTAAACAAAACTTAACTGAAATGAATATAATAATATAAGGTGAAGTAAGAGGCTTGTGTTTGAGAAACATCAAGCTCTTGACTGTTTCTTTGTGACATCAATGCGTTGAGACGCTGGAATACTAAGTACGAACATGAAGGAAATAAACCTTTTTTCTTTCTCCTGGATCCGAAGGTATCTGCGCCACTCGTACGACACGTGGGAGTTCCGCGTACCTAAACAGTTACAAATAAAGTCAGCTTTCTTCTTAGTGATCAGGAACAAAGACAAGAAACTGGATGATTCACTAGAAGCATTCTTCAGTGCGTTCTGTTTCCAATTTCCTCTTTCATCGTAGTGAGGATGAAACGTTTAAAATTTTGAACGATACTTGCCTTACATAAGATAATTCCCAAAATCATCTCATAGAGACAAGGACAGGGCAGAATCAAAATGTAGTAAGACCTCTCGGGGGACACTTCAGTGAATTTTTTAATCGCAATGAAGCTTTCTGTAAAAGATGCAAGCTGAGCTGTGGAAGAGGGAAGTAGAGGGGGGGAATCGCCCGTGATGGATTTAACCAAGCTGGATCAGACAACAGGGGCAGGGGAGCATTACTAGTGAAAGCCCCCCCCCCGCTCTCTGGGTGGGGACACATGTGTCATGGCAAAAGTAGGAACCTATGTTATATCCTTTTACAAAGACTAAATGATTAAAAAAAAAAAACAAACAAATGACGCTGCCCGTACCATGTGAACACGTCTAAGCCAATGAGAGAGAAGACGCGATTGAGCGGTGGTAAGATCTGTTTGGTGATGTAATACGACGCGTTTAACCGAAGGCTTGGATCCTGGAGCACTTCCTGAGGTCTAGGGATAAGAGAATTTTCGCGAACAAGTCAGACGAAGAAGGGGAAAAACACTGTGAGGAAAAAGGTCAAACTTTTGCTAATTATTAAACTTAAAATCCTCTAGTTTAAACAGAGCTAACTTCTTTGTGGCTTCTGCTGTAGAAAAATTCTCTGAAAATTAAGCTTATCGATCAAAGGGGGATTTCGTCGCAAGGTTTCTATTCCTTTGAGCGAATGAGAGGAGTGTAAGTTCTCTAAGTCCTGACGGTGTATAGATGTATCGAAATGAACATGTGGATTCTAATTCCTCTACTTATCGAAGAAAATCATATTGGAATTATTCTGAAGTTTATGCTGTCAGTTAGTAATTCTCCCAGTAGCCATCATTCCTGAGGCTAACATTCACTTACCGTCTTACAAGTTGAATCAATGGTAATCCTGGACTTCCATACACCACTACGTAAGGAACTCTTTCTGCTACTCTTGGCTCCGATCTGCGGTCGACTTTAAGCATGCGCCTTTTAAAACCAAAAATGGAAAGAACGTCTATGAAAACTATTACCACAGCACTTAACATTCTCTCGACCATTTTTTATTACTGAATGAAAACCTAGGACAGAGCAACTACATTCACATTAAAAGCAATTCATAGGGGGTAAATCAAACTTCCCATTTTTACTCCCTCTCCTCAGTCTCCTCTTAACTTTACCTCGTGAGCTCCAGAGCTGGCACGCATGCACCTGGCTTATAGTTCTTCATGCCGCGGTATTCTTTGGCGAAAGTGAAGTCCTGGAGACTGGCACGTCCCTCCATCAACTTTGTGCACTGCCGCTGGACATACTTCTTGATCAGGGACAGGTCACGTGTTTCAAACAAAATTCGCAGCGACTTTTCAAGAATCTAATAACCAAATAATAACGCCATGATATATAAAAAAAAATCCAAGAAAGCGATAAAAAATAAATTATGAACAAACAAGATATTCAAGTCGAGAGCGAACCTTTGCCACTGCGGGAATGGAGTCTCTGCGAACAGTCTCAATCCCTTTAGCATCAAACGCGGGTTCCTTCTGATCAAGTGTCTCGTACATGTATCCGACATAACGCTTCTTCGTCTGTAACACACAAGGCAGATAAACCTAAAAACATATCAAACAGTTAGGAGTTCGATCTATCAACAATCGATCAAAAGATTTTCACGCAAAGAATTTTTCACTAATCTGAGCGCCAAAAGAATTGTAGGTTCTGCTTCATTATGCTCTGTGATTAGTTCAGAAAACTTGCGTCACTCTTTCAACCAATCAGATGTAAAACTTAAACACCAATCGCACGAGGAACAAGCCTTTTCCCGCGCTTTAGGGCGCCCGCACGAATTTACTTCGAGTTCTCAAGGGCTTCTTTTTCTGATCTATCTATCATCAATATTCATTTTCTCTTCACTTTACTCTTTACATTCCCTACGGTACTGACAAGGAGAATTTGCTTGACAATCAGGAGCTTCTTAAATTGGTGATCATTTTCTTTGTTCTTCTGACCTTTACTTTTGATTCAAGGGTGATACAGTAACGGGAAATTAAAAGCCAGTCACATTTAGGGAGTTAAAGAGTTGAGAAACTTCGTCGAAAAGCGTTCTTAAATGTGATGAATGAATCAGGATTGAGGTCATGCTGAGAATTCGCAAACAAAACTAACCAAACCCTCTCGTTTTAAGTAAACGGAAGGTTCTTTGGTGAGCTCGCCGGCAACCTCGTTCCCAGGGTATCTCATCTTCTTGCCCCCCCCCCCCTGGGAACGAGGTTGAGCTCGCCGGTACTGTGACCTATATTCGTACCCAGAGCTCTTAATCCGGGATCCAGCGCACATACCATTAAGCAACCGCATCTCTACATTCAAAACCATTTAAAGGCTTAGTACATGTCAATCAAAGAAGTTGCAGCAAAAGTTACAATCTAAAAATTGCAACCTTACTAATATCAATGAATAAAGGCTGAAAGTTTCTAAAGAAACTGTTTGGGGTTGCTTCGGTGGGGGTAACGAAATAATTTGGATATATCAACAAAGTTGAAATGGTAAATTGGCCACTGCTCGAAGCTGACGTTTCGAGCGTTAGCCCTTCGCTAACGCTCGAAACGTCAGCTTTTGTAATCGTTACGGTGGCCAATTTACCATTTCAACTTTGTTGATATATCCAAATTATTAGGGACCTTAAGAAACCACGACGGCGAAGGGGACGTGGAAAAACAAGAGATCTGATTGGCAGAACAATAGCTCAGCAAGTGCGTTTTAAAACTTTGTACATTTCTTAGCCGTCCTATGCAAAACAACAACGTGAAATCGCCAAAATTTGCGTCGTCTGCGAACCGAAACCGCGACGGCAAATTATTTTGATTTCCATTTGGAACTCAACGGCTACTTTATACGTCATGCTGAAGTTGAGCTGTGGCGCTGTATGAGACAGTAAGCTCTTGCAGCCATTTTTGAAATTCTAACTAAGAGTAGAAATTCATTTTTTAATCGAAGTCTTCCTTGGCGTCGCCGTCGTGGTTTCTTAAGTCCCTATTACTAATATCGAGAACGTCACACCTTTTCAAACTTGAGTTTGACTGGTTTGGGATTCATAGCTGTGACAGTATCCACAATGTCTTTACCAATAATGAACGCTTGTTTTTTGGTGGCTCCCTTTAGCAATACAAATAAACTGAAAGAGAACATCAAAAATATTACAATGTAATTTTTTTTTATCGATATTGTAAATATTTTTGGTGATAAAACCCGGCTTGCCGCCAGAAATTGCCTGCGAAATACATACGAACACTAACACACACACATGCAAATCCGCTTTGCTGATAAAATTCTTTCTTCAATCATTGTTTTCAAAGAAGTTAAAGAAACAACAGTAAGAGTAAAAATACTTGGGAATAAATATGTTCTCGGCCCGACTGGGAGTCATTTTAGTTGGAGCCACCAGGCGAGGGTTAAATGACCGAGAAGGGCCCAAACGTCTTTATGACAAGAACTGTAACTGTATTACTATCATTATCACTTTGAGGGCACTAAGTAAACAAAAAATTTAAAAAAAATAGAAAAATGTCGACAAAACAGTCTGAACGATCTCACGAGCGTGTGAGTAAGCTAAAATACATTTTAGCCCATTTAGCGCTATTTAGCTCCCAAAATGCGCCACAAAGTAGCGTCAAAAAGTGATAACATTTAATATTTTGATATCAATAAAGGTAGACGAAGACCAGCTAAAAAGAGGTTTGTTCTTTTGAAGCGTTAGTTAGAGTTGTCGTCTCTCGATGTGATGTTTAGGGATTTTAGGATGACTCGTGCAAACGAGTGGCTCAAATGTCTTGCATTTTGTTTTGCACTGTAAAAACAAGTTAGAGTGCTGAAGATGATGATGGATTGATCAGAACTGGTTTGACGAATGTCGACTTGCAAACGATAACATGCGCGTGTCCACCACCACCACCACGCAGCGGTTTAGAGAGAGACATAAATTTTACAAGGGATCGGGGCGGTGATTGAAAGAGATCCCAGTAAAACAATAACTCTACTCGCACGTTTGAACCTTTCACATTTCCAAGCCGAACCTTAACTCACGTTTGGCTTAGTCGGGAACGGACGCCTCGACGACAAATCGATCTCGTTTCGCCATCGAACTCCACACTGCATTCACATGTTGTACTAAAGACAGGAGGGATCTAGCGCCGTTAGACCAGGTAAAAACTTCAAGTAACGCGCAAAATTTTTAAGGGAAAGGAAAGTTCATTTTTTAAGTCGCCGTTTTCTCAGGCATCGCCTTTACTGGTGACATTTCAAACTCTCTAGGATCACGGAAGACGTTAAATAACTCATGTAAATCTTTTTATTTAAAAGAAGTAGTATTTGAATTATATATCGTGGAGCCCATACAGCTTTTACTGACTTTAAAAACATCATCGACAGAAAACAAAACAGCGCAAATTCAAAAGGACATTTTAAAAGTTTAACACTTTGCAAAATGAGCGATTTCACGTTTCTTTTTTTTTTTTTCTCCTCTTCTCGGCAGACTTAACGGACGTGCAACGCCGTTGCTTTTCTCACTAAACCTTATCTGTGACTTTCTCCGTTCAAACAGTCGATAATGACGTAAGTAAACATCGGATAATTTTTTGTACTGACGCAATTGACACGCGTGAACTCCGACATACTTTTTTTCAAAATAAGAGTTCAGCTGGAGAATATCAAGACAATATTTCAAGAGCATCAAGGAGGATTCCAAAATTCTCCCGCATTGAATAACCATTCAGGAAGTTGTACTCTTGAAAAGCATTTCCTATGAAAGCTAGAAGTAGTATTTATATAACGTGACAGAGGAAAGGCACTTTAATATTTCAAGAATAGCATCTTGCGTGCGGAATCTTAAGAAAGCAAATACATTATCTTCCTTGGAATAATCCATGAGTTACACACTCGATCAATACAGCTAAAGAAATGCGATTAAAGCAGTAAATCCACGATTTAATTACTCAATTCATATCCAGCTATCGCGCATCGATCCGAAGATAACTGCGGTGATCACGCTATCGAAGTTCACCGTCTTCAGCCAGCCTGGAAGCAATTCGTGCGAATAGCTTCTACTAAAAAATCATATATCTTGATCTACATCAGTGATTTTTCTCCAGAACCACCTTAGGCCTCTCTGTTCCGAAATCGTAATTTTTTTCGGTAGTTTTATTTGAAAATTGTCTATGTTCTGTTTACTTCCCACGCTCCATAGGAAGCAAAAAATCTGCATAGGTGGCCATTCCACAATGATACGTATTTTTAATTCGATTTCGTAAACTTTAAAAACCGTGCGCCAAATCACGGGAAATCCTACAGCGCTGGCTTGACTTTCAAGCACAGCAGCCCGAGCAAATGTCAGGACATCACAAGGATTGGACAACTAGCAATGGAAAAGATGAAATTGGATTAAAAGATTGAAACAAACTTGGAAACATTTCAAGTTTTTATCTCCAAATTCTGAATGATGTACAATGGGAGGGAAAAGAAAATATCCTCAAACCAATGTTGATGAAAAACTCCGGCGGATGTTGGCCCAATTCTAAAAGAGAAACGTAGCTTCAAGGAAAAAATTAATAAGAGATTGTATTTATCTTAGTTGCTGTCAGTTATATCACCTGTCAGTATCTCCATACACGACACGCGCACCCCAGCGGGGAGTGTTGTTCACGAGATCAATTGCGCGCTCAAGTGTCTCGCGCGCTTTACGGACGATACTGTCGCCAATCTAAAAGGAGAAGAAGAACGCAGTGTTAATAAAGATAGAGATCACATCGAGGGTTATTTGGAAATTGAGCGAGGAGTTTCTACTTCTATGCAGTCACCAAAACCACCGACTTGAAATAGATCTACCGATAGAAACTTTTAGTCTTCGCCGAGTATCACGATCCCACCCACACTCGCTCCCGCGCTCACTCACTCCTTCACTCGCATCCTCGCTCGCTCGCTCTCTCGTTCAGTTCAGTTAGCTTCAATCCCATTCTTTTCGTCGTTTTCATGTCGTACTGGTGCTCTTGCCTTTTTTCCTTCTCTCGATCGCTCCATTCTTCAATTATTTCCCCTTTCCTTTTTTTTCCCTAATGTACATTATTTCTGTAAAATGTGAAATTTTACAGTGCGTAATCATTTCCGTTATCATAACCAAGGATATCAATAACTTTTCCATACGCGGCTGTAATAGCGGAGGCCGTCGTTCCCGGAAAGGGGCCGCCGAACACGAGAGCCTGTTTTCAAGTTAAGCCGACGATGACTAGCATCTAATTTCTCCTTACTATATCACCCCTTAATCAAACATAATGGTCATGAGAATAAGGACATAGTCAAAAACTAAAGGAGCTGTTGATGGTTAAACAAATTCTCCTTGTCAGCTCCTTAAGAATTGTACGAAGAACAGTTTGGAGAATATATGCATACTGATGTTGAGGTTTAAAGGGTTATTGAGACCCCTGCATAACAAACGCATCTTCGTTTCTACCAAGGACTCATTCGTCATGAACCTTTCAACGCAGCAAGTCGTCGGTGACACTTAAAAGTTTCGAGCACTTCAAGCTTTAAAGTGATAGTGTGGTAAAGAATTCTCGGTAGCGTAACATGCCATCCAATTACTTGAGAAAGTCTTAAATTTTTGCTAGGCGTAATTATTTAGCAAGCACTTGTTCTTGTTTTTGTGTGTGCTTTTTTTCTTTCGTCTCACCTCTACACAAGGCATCCTGCCGGAGAAATGAGCAGAAGTGTACCCAAACGTCACATTTGCTATCAGCTTCAAGCCCAGTTGACGTGCATCTAACATTCGCCCGAGGGACTGGTAACAAAAGAGAAAGAGGACCTCATTGAATTCTCTCAAAGTGCACTAGCTGCGTTAACAGAACATCAAGATCACTTGATTACATTCGCTCGCAACTTCTCCTCATGCTCTTAGTGACTAACATTCTGGTCGGACAGTGATATGAGGGTTTTCCCCCACCAGCAGCATTTGAATCGTTTTCAACTTAAGAGTTGTAGGGATGTTAATAAATAATAAATAAATAAATGACAATTTATATAGCGCCCTATCCAAAAGCTCTAAGGCGCTTCACAATCAAGGTAAAAAGTAAAAATAATAATCAAACATAATCATTCATTAAAAATAACGCTTAAAAAGATAAGTTTTAAGATTACTCTTAAAAACGTTAAGATCTATACTACATTTTATGGTTTCAGGAATGTCATTCCACAGCTTAGGTGCAGAGACAAAAAAGGCGCGATCGCCATGAGTTTTCAACTTGGAGCGAGGAATCACTAACAAGTTCAAACTCGATGATCGTAAAGACCTAGTAGGCTTATAAGTTTCTAACAAGTCACTGATATAACTTGGGCATAAATTATTTAAAGCTTTAAAAGTAAAAAGTAAGATTTTAAAAATAATCCTCTGCTCCACGGGGAGCCAGTGCAGCTCCCTCAGTAAAGGAGTCACGTGATCATGCTTGCGACCAAATAAGATCAGCCGTGCCGCACAATTCTGGGCTAATTGTAATCTATGAACTAAATGTTTCGGAAGACCATATAACAGAGAATTACAGTTGTCTAATCTGCATGTAACGAAGGCGTGTGCTAACGCCTTAGTACTACTAACTGACAAAAACTTTCTAATCCGAGAAATATTCCAGAAAAATGAAGTGAAAAAAATGCAGATTTACAAATAGCCGAAACTTGACGTTCCATATTTAACTTATTGTCAAAGATTACACCCATGTTCCTTGCATAGTGCGAAGGCTGTAAAACAGATCCATCAATCACTGTAAAAGAAGGAAGCTGAGAAGCAGACAGATTGCCTGATCCGATGACCAAAAGCTCAGTCTTATCACCGTTAAGTTTGAGTTTGTTCAATGACATCCAAGTTCCAATATCTTGTAGGCAGGCCTCGATTCTCGTAGTAGTAACTGATGAAACCGAGTCAAGCGAAAATTAACTTGACAGTCATCCGCATAAAAACGGAAGTTCATATCATGACTTCTTATAATAGGGACCTTAAGAAAACACGACGGCGACGGAAACGAGGACGTGGAAAAACAAGAGATCTAATCGGTAGAACAATACCTCAGCAAGTGCGTTTTAAAACTTTGTACATTTCTTAGCCGTCCTATGCAAAACAACAACGTGAAATCGCCAAAATTTGCGTCGTCTGCGAACCGAAACCGCGACGGCAAATTATTTTAATTTCCATTTGGAACTCAACGGCTACTTTATACGTCATGCTGAAGTTGAGCTGTGGCGCTGTATGAGACAGTAAGCTCTTGCAGCCATTTTTGAAATTCTAACTAAGAGTAGAAATTCATTTTTTAATCGAAGTCTTCCTTGGCGTCGCCGTCGTGGTTTCTTAAGGTCCCTAATATAATCCTTGTTAACTTGCCTAACCCTAAGCAAAATATAATTGACCACAACATCGCTAGTTAAGCTTACTACAATTATACTCGTTTCTGAAGAGGGGCAAACCCTTGAAACGCTTTAAAAACCCCTCGAAATTCTTAACGGTAGCCAATTAACATTATCAGTTCAGTCGATAAAACCAAATTATCATGTTACAACTGCATTGTCTACTGTTAGTTTTTTTACATCTAAAAGGCAAAAACAAAATAACAAGTTTGCAATCGTAGAATTGCATCCAAATTCTATTTTGAACATTAATATGTACGATTCCCTCATGAATTTGATAAAAGTCGAGCCGGCGAAACAAAACGAAAAAACAAACAGCAGAAGAAGGAATTCCAGTTTGCGCACACCTAGTAGAGGGTGAGAAAAAACCTTACCCAATACCTGGGAAACCATCCGCGCGAGTTTCATGGGAATTTCTGGCATTCGCAGCAAACACCGATTTCTTGCGTATACGGATCCCATACCTCGACGTAGACATGGAGCGGTGGGTCATCACTGATGGTTTGATGCCACACATATTCCTTAGTGAAGTAAATAAAAGTAAACTCAAGAGACCGCTGGACGCATAACCCCTGGTGATCGAGGCAGTGTCCAGATACACATTTGACTTCGTTGATAAACTTGGGGAAAACTCCATCTTTCAATTCGGTTACTCTATTACATTCCGTACATAAGCGAATTAATCCTCTTTTATNGATCGAGCAGTAATAAAACAACAGTACAACCACGATCCACAGTACGTAAGATATCGTCATGAACTCTGAGAATGTTAAGGAAACTATAACGGCAACGGCGTGGAGGAATTGGCAAAACAAATGAACCAATGGGCAGAATCACAGCCGAGCACCTGCATTTTAAAACTGTGTAAATTTCTTAGCCATTCTTTGCAAAACAACAACGTGAAATCAGCCAAATTTGCATGGTCTGAGAATGAAAACATCGACGGAAAAATTTTTTTTCAAGTCTCCATTTGGAACTTAACTGCTCTCTCAGAAATTAGGCTGGAGGTGGGGCGTGGCGCCGCAATCAGAGACGGTAAACACATCCAAACATTTGCAAAATCTTAACTAAAAATATAACTTCATTTTTTAATCGACTTTTTCGTTGGCGTTGTCTTCCTGACTGCTTAAGGTCCCCTGTATGTTCAAGGCATTTCGAGACACCTGCGTAACTGAGTGAACAAATAAATTTCTCTCACGCAATATGCACTCAAGGAAGACCCTTCACCTTGTCTGATTTCCACTTCTTCATTGACGCCTTCACCATGATTCGTGTCTCAAGGATCTCCTCCAACATACTAGAGAAAGACAGAGATCGAAAGTTGAGACTTCTCACTGCCTGCCTTTAAAGTATCTAAAGTAATGTTCGCAAATGACTACAGCCGAGAAAATTACCTGGGAAGAATACCCCGTCTTATGTTGGATTTGACAAACGCGACACCGCTTGGCGAGACATGAATATCACCTTCAAGTTTCTTTAAAAAAAAAAAAAAGGAAAACAGTTGAAGACAAGTTTCTAAAGAACGGAAGTACCTTCTTCAGGGCTAAGTTTTCCAAACGCTGTAGTCGTTTTAAAATGGAAATTAGAGAACAGATCGTGGACAATGAAGTTTAATAGAAAAAAAACAAGGTGTTTTACTTTCAAAAGACTTGGAGGAACACGTAAAGAGGTGGCACCGAACTTGAATTCGCCGTACCTGCAAAATAAAAATTAAAAAAAAAGAAAAAAATCGGCATTTAGAGTGCACATTTCTCAATGCATGTACGCTATTGTATCTTGTTGTACACTGGTTATGAAAGGGATTCGACCAAAACAGGGTCTACAGGGCAAAACATCCTCGAAAAGCAAAGTAAATTGGCTACCGTAAAGACTTTCTGAAGCTTACGTTCCGAGCGCTAGCTCTTGGTCAGAAAGACGACAAAGCAGGGCTAGCGCTCGGAACATCCACTTTAGAAACCCTTTACTATGGACAATTCACAGTATCAACTTGGTTGATAAAACCAAATGATCTTGTAGTACCGCCCATCGACGAAGCACCACAGTTACTTTAGAAATTTAGTGGAAATTAAGATAACACTGAACAAAACTGTATCCAAGATATTCTTGGGCTCAATGCATTAGTACTGATGTTTGTTGACTGAATCACCTTAAAGAAGTTTATTTCGGTTTAAGACCAAACTCCAGCCCAGTGTTGTGATGAAAAATGGCAGTAGACAACAAAACGAAAGATAAGAATGAGCACTCAGAGCGTTTTTGTTACAGCCTTTTCCATAATCGCAAGGGAAAGTGCCGTGACACCAAGGGAAGGAAGTTTGAGCGCACTTTTGTTGAGGAGAAGGGAAGGTTTCTGAGTACATCAGAAATCTTAGAAAAACAAAACCAGACTGTAGTAAATCACTCGCTTTTGTCACCATTGCAATTTTCAATGTGTTGTCGAAGGAGTTAGCGATTTGACGTGGCTTTCTTTTCCTTGATACGCGTTGTAAAATCGTTTTCCCTTATCTTTCTACTTACTCCGACAGACAGCTGACTCGCCCAAGACAGGTGGAGAAACAATAGTTGTAAGCTATGACCACTGATGGATACAGAGACTGGAAATCGAGGACCAGGACTGGATCACTGTAGAATCGGGATTCTGGTTCCATCACCAAAGGAATTGTTTCTGGGGCACGCATTCTGAAAAAAAAAAAAGCAATTGCATCAAACATATCGAATAACTCACAGTTAACACCTTATACACAGAGTGCTTTTCGATCAGTCGATTGTCGTAAAACCAAAGAAGAAAGGAAAATACCTTTAAGAACCCATGAGAACTCAAAGTAATAACAAGCCATCTGCCAGCTGCCTAAAGCGCGGGAAGGCGCGGGAAAGCGCGGGAAAGCGCGGGAAAGCACGGGAAAACGCCGGTCACCAAGTCGCGATTGGTTTCAGTTTTCAGTCGGATTGGTTTAGAACGTGGCGCGAGTTTTCTGGACCAGTCACAGACAAACAAAGCAATCCAGGATTACTTTCGACGCTCAAATGAAATTGCTCTAAATACTTGAACAAATTAGCACAACTTACAGTCCACGTTGTTCGACGCTGGGAGAAACTGCAATATAGTTCATTGGTTTTGCTATCCTCAGCATCATGGACTCGACACGATACTGTAGAGAGAGAAAGAGAAAAAAACAGGATTGTTATAGACACCAAAACCATCACATAACGGAGCTGTTATTTTTCGAATCGAATTTGTTGTGGGATTTCTTGTGCGTAGCATATCTTTTAAATTATTACTAGTATGAGTTCTTGCACTTGTTCTTCTATTGAAGAAGCGATATAAATCACCTTAAAAGCTCTAGGCTTGAACTAGTGCATAGAAACTTTACATATTCTAAACTCGAGATTTCGCCGTTTGATTTACCATTTTTTTGTTTGTAAAAGGTAAGTCTGTACTGTACACGAGGCAAATGGCCCATCAAGCCAATACTTATCTCGGTTTCCATAGCATGAAGCAACTAGAAGTATTACTACTCTCCCCGGGATGCAATGCTTATCCATCACAAGGTTATCCCATGCATTTCATCGTACTTCCCTGAAAATTCACCCGTAGCCGTTTATACCCATGAGAGGAGAGATGCACTATGAAATTAAAGTTTTTGTAAAAGAACACAACACAACAATGGCTGGGCAGGTTTCGAGCAACGTCTCCTCATGTCTGTGTACTTATTTCTTTTGTTCCTTCAGAGGTATTCATATACATGGGACATCATTTGTTGCAAAATACCTGTGATCCACGAGATATGACGGAAAAGAACAAGATTCCAAAAAGCCTTGCCAGTTCACTGGTCCGACCAATGAAATCCACGGATTCTAATATCCTGACATTACCACGGCAACGCAAGACGTAATGATCGACAGTCCTCCAGCGATTTAATGACGTTCGCTGATCCCACCAGTCTGACAACGTGCGAAAGGAGTACAGCGGTATTCGTTCGTGAAGAACGTGAAATGCTACGTTTTCAAATGAGTAGCTATTTAGGGCTGCCTAAGAAATAAAGGGTTTAATGAACGCTTCAGCCACTAAGGGTGGTTAACATCTAAGCTACAGTAGCACGGCTGAATCAAACGCTGAAGTCAGGAGAATAAAGGAAACTATCACTACCTTCAGAGGCCCTTGACTGTAACACAAATTCTCTTTTTGGTTAGAGCGCCGGATTGTGTTGTGCGGGAGGTCGAGGGTTCGAGCCCCGGCCGGACCGATACTCATAGTCTTAAAATAAGTGAGCAGAATTTGCTACCTTTCTATAATCAAGAAATGTTTAGATATTCTAGTCTTCTCGGATAAGGACGAATAAACTGTAGCCCCGTCTCCTGCAGGGTTAGGGGTAGGAGACGTTAATTTCCCATGCACGAGATTACTGTGTTGTGGATGTCCTCCCCTGGGGTGGGATGGGTGGGAATTGGCCCTAAAAGCCCCCATGGGGAGTGGTCAGCTAACGTATATATGTATGTAACTTTAAAAACTAACGTATGTACATGCGCCCTTCCCTATTAAAGACTCGAGTTCAGATTGTTCGAAAAGAGGTCCATCCCTTGGGGTTAAAACATTCAAACAAACAAACCAAAGGGGACACCAAAAACGACCGACGAAACAATAATAAAACAGTGACTCTCCACGTACAAAGCCAAGATTCTGGGCGAAAATAGTAAAAAAAAGTATATGTTTATACATGTTAAGTTTTACATCGATATAATGTGGGCTTTGTTTGTTTTTATTATTTCCCCGCAGTACCTCGTGTCTCATGAGCCTCCAGACGTTTAAAATTATGCGTCCAGCAATTTTAAACTCAGATGTATGCGCAGCACCCCAGTTGTCTTTCTCAGCGTCCATATTACTGTCAGAGGACGAGCCTTTTACGCGCGATAACCAACTGCAAAAGTCGATCTCGAAGAACAACGCCCTCTCCAAAAGAAATCCCCAGGAGAACATTTGTATCTCATATCCAATCAAAATGTCAGGGTCCCATTTGCGGATTATTTTGATCAAAGCAGGGAACAGATCCTTCTCCTCAGCCACGTATTGAATATCGTGATGTGCGATTCCCGACCGGGATAATAGAGGTCTCGAGTAAGCTGCTCTGGTGTTCTGTGTAGCTCTTGATGAGGTTGATACTACCGTATCGTTTGATGGCGCAACTGGCGTTGTAATGTCAGTGTTCGAAATACCTGTGTCTTTGTTTTCTATGAAAGAGAACACTTCAGATCAATTTTACCTTTAACAAAAAAAATCTTCATCACGTTTAAAACGTCTCGATAAATTCTCGACAATTCTCTGAAATTCTCGCATGATACTGGTCCATATTCGCTCCGACGAAGGGCTAACGCTCGAAACGTCAGCTTTTGTAATCGTTACGGTGGCCAATTTACCACTTCAACTTTGTTGATATATCCAAGTTATATCATATTATGATGACTTATGTAAACTGCCAAAATTTGAAACTTAAAAAGCCATACCGTTCAGAAACTGTTTGGGATGTTCGGATTTTAAGGACTTCTTCAAGGTTCGGAAACCTTTGTTGCAAATGGCAGCCATGTTCCAACTTTGTTGCATCTTTGTACACAGATAGCTAAGAGAAATCCTCTTTTACAGTATAATACTCTTACCAGTTGTGAAGCCACAAATCTTGGCAGATTCTGGATCCACGCAGATGATTCCAGTTACTTTGTTTTTTCCCGAAGGAAGGGGTGTGTCAGTTTGTATGTAGTAGAATACCGCACAAATACGATCAAATTCCGGATCTGGTCTCATGTCACGCCTGGTTCTTACATGGAGCTCTAAGCTAAACAGTGTCAAATGTTGTACCTGTTAATCGATCACAGAGAAAAAAATATTAGTTCGATGTTTTTGTATGTCATCATTTTAGTATTACGAGAAAGTTCTGTAAATTTTTGACTTTCTCTATCAAAAGGGCGCCGAATCACCAAACTCTACACACGTGAAAAAGTAAATCGCATAAGTAACCTTGATAGGTTTTTATATCAAAGCGAGTCATCACATATTCAAAATGTACATATCTTGGACAAGATAACACTAGGAAGGCACCAGACAATGTTTAGGACAAGGAAAGTTAACTTTCACCACCCTAACATTAATATTCATAATCCCCACACTTTAGTATTTACATCTCTTATGGTCCTATCAAGGAGAATTTGTTTGACAATCCAACCTCTTTCCCAGGGTCTCTCATCTTCCCTGCAGGAAGATGAGAGAGAGCCTGGGAACGAGGTTGTTGACAATCAAGAGCTTCTTGTACTGGAGATCATTTCCACTTTATTTTCATGACCTTTCTACTGATTCCAGGGAGATATTGCCAGGCGAAATTAGAAGCCAGTCACTCTAAGGGGATAAAGAGTTAACACAGATTTCGTAGAGGATACTAGTAAAATTAATAAAGGGGGTAAGTTTCTAAAGAAACAGTGGTGCTGCGGCGGTGGGGGTAACAGGGTAATTTGCTAATATCAACTGAGTTGAAATTGTAAATTGGCCACCGTAAAGAGTTAAAAAGCTGACGTTTCGAGCGTTAGCCCTTCATCATTCGCTCTGACCAAATTACCTAGTAAAATTAAGCCTGCTGTAACTGTCAGAGAGCTCCTAAATATCCTTCTTAAGACTTCCTTCCTTTGTAACTCAGGACAGAGACAGTATCAAACAAAACAACAACCTAACTTTCTTACGACTTGGGACTTCTTATTACCTCGTGTAAGGCCTTGGCGTCCCTGAGGTTTATCTGAGTAACCTTAAACCCGTACGTGTTGTTAGGAGAAGGACCCTCGATCTGTGAGCTCCAAGGCAAATGGCACCTTGGTTTAGATCCTGGTGTGACGAACTACAAGAAAATGACATGCAAGGAGGAATAAAATAGTTTTTCAGATGATTTGATCATAAAAAAGGTGAAAAAAAGCGATACCTTGAATCGACTGGCCAGCATTTGCTGCCGCAAAGGAGTTTGGTCCGTAGAGGCCTGGTGACCAGTATTGCCCTTCACAGGATTCTGGGCATTTGTCTCCGGACTCTTCGCATTAGTAGCAGCTGAGATTGGAGTACAGCGGGGCGACCGAAGGCCATAGACAAGATTTGTAGCCACCGGGGTGCTGTGATGTGGCGCAGCAGCGGGGGAATCTTGAGTTTGTAATGTCGGCGATAATACTTGTTTTATGGTTAGAGGGCTTAGCTGTGGAGAGCCTTTTGAAGAAATTCGTGCCGGTGGCGTGGCTGCCTTGGATTGCATGACTGTACTTGGCGGCGAGTTTGTTTCTGTAGTAACACTGTTAGCTTGATGAAGTTGTTCATCAGGAACAGCAAGCCCAAGACTGCTATTAATACTTATCGGTTGCGTTCCTGAAATTTCGCCAAGATTGTGTTTTTCACTTTGTTTAAAACTTGATGCAAGTGTAAACAGCTTCTCCTCGTTTGACGAGAACAAGCTGCCAGGACTAACTACTTCAGCAGGACTTGAAGAATCGGACAGATCTACAACATTCGTCTTTTTATCTCCATCAACACCGTCAAGAACCTTGTGTTTTGGAAGATCTTCTAGAACGAGCGCACCTGACTCGCAGGTGATTTTCTCAGAAGGAATTTTTGGCAGAGATGATTCCGGTATGGCTTGATTCAGTTCGAGTTTGGAAGTTTTTGAAACCTCTGCAATTATTTTTGTCGGATTTGATGATTGTTTAGTTTCAACTTTCTCCAAATTTTCATCTTTCGATGTCCCCTGTTCACGTTTCGCTTTTTTCAAACTCGTTCCTTGTCTCCGTTTGGCAAGTTTATCTCGTGCCCAGGCCTTGACAGCCTGAGGCGTTGGCGGGCCCCGACATGGTGTTACCACTACATCTCCGTCTCCCACTAACGAAATCCTCAGCTCAACATTTTTTTTGAAGTCCGTTGCATCCTCAACGGTTTGGCCAAGGTCATAAAGGCTAACCTCAAGAGCAGATGAGAGCACAAATTTCCAGTGTTTCAAACCTTGCAAAGAACCTGCTGATTCAAACTCTGGAAGGCTTGAAACCTTCGAATAAAAATGTGAATTAAGTACTCCTGAGGAGATATTTTTGTGACAAATTCGTTTCACTTACTTCGAAATTCAAAACAAATATTTAACAATTATTCCACGAGCGCGCGTTGGATATGAGATGATAGATAGCCAACGAGGCGCGTAGCGCCGAGTTGGCTATAATCATCTCATATCCAACAAGCGCGAGTGGAATAATTGTTTTATTAAAAACGCCCCCAAGAAATTATTATTTTGTAAGAAGAAACTGGATTTTTTAGCTCCCTTTTGATTTTAAGCTGACGCGTACGCTTACCATATTTGTAGATTATGGTATATTGGCTCATATACCATAATGGCTAAGCCAATAAAAAGTCTTGAATTGCATTATCCAATGATCCAGTTTTTAATAA